CGGGCGTATCCTTCCTTTTAAAATCATTAGAATAGAATAGAATAGAATAGAATAGAATATTTTTATTCAATATACATTACATGTGTAATTCTTATTGAAAGTCATTTTTTACTTTACCACTGGTTCGAAAAAAACCCTCTGTCCTGGGAAGAACCAGCAAGAAACCCAGCGGGACTTTTTTTTTAAATAAATTTTACAATATAAATGATTACGAACTATTTACAAAATTTATTTTAGAAACTGCTTGGAAGCGATCACCTCATTCCCAGGGGTTATTATCAACCATGTATTCATTTATACTATAATAACCCTTTTTATACAGTTTCAGCTTAATAAAACATTTAAACTTGGTAATAGAGAGAACCTGTACACTTTCCGGGACCTTGTTGTAATAGCGTATACATTGCCCCAAGAATGAATTACTGACTCTGTGGAGTCGAGAAACTGGTATCACTAGCTTGTGTTTGTTCCTAGTGTTTACAGAATGTATATCACTTCTTTTACTAAAACTATCTTTGTTTTTGTGAACATACATTAAATTTTCGTAAATATACTGAGAGGCCAAAGTTAATATATTAATTTCTTTAAATTTATCTCTAATAGACTCTCTCGGTTTTAGATTGTAAATAGCTCTAATGGCCCTCTTCTGTAAAACAAAAATAGTTTCTGAATCAGCCGCATTTCCCCATAGCAAAATCCCATAAGACATTATGCTATGAAAATAACTAAAATAAACTAATCTAGCTGTATCGACACTAGTGAGACCTCTAATCTTATTTACAGCATAGGCTGCAGAACTTAGTCTGCTTGCTAATTTGGATATATGGGGGCCCCACTGGAGCTTTGCGTCAAGAGTGATGCCAAGAAAAACAGTGGATACAACAGGGCTCAATTCCTCCCCATTTAAAAACACATTGGTATTCAGATTTTGAACATTCGTTGTTGTAAATTTAACACAATTAGTTTTATTTCCGTTCAAATGCAGATTATTAACGTTAAACCAATGCACTAATTTTGATATAGCATTATTCACTTCGTCACATTTAAATGATTGACGTTTAAGTTTAAAAATCAAGGAAGTATCATCAGCAAATAATACTATATCATGACTATCCCCTACAAGGTGATAAGGTAAGTCATTAATATACACCAGAAACAGGAATGGGCCGAGAATCGAGCCCTGAGGTACACCCATTAGTACAGGTGACCCGGAAGAACTTTTACCATTGATAATAACCTTCTGTTTTCTATTACTTAAATATGAAATAATAAGTTTAAGCGCTGTGTTCTTGACACCATAGTACTGTAGCTTCCTGATTAATGTCTCATGGTGAACACAGTCGAAGGCCTTGGAAAGGTCACAAAATATACCCAAAGCATCCTCTGAATTCTCCCATGCACAAAAAATATGTTTAATAAGCTCAACTCCAGCGTCAGTTGTCGAGCGACCCCTTGTAAAACCGAATTGATTATTATGTAGCAATTTATTAATATTAAAGAAACTTAACATCTGATCTAAAATAATTTTTTCAAAAATTTTACTTAATGTTGGTAGTACAGAAATTGGTCTAAAATTGGCGGGGTCTAATGTACTACCAGATTTAAATATAGGTATGACTTTACTATGTTTCATTAAATCAGGAAACACACCAGATTCGACGCTTATATTAAATATAGTGGCTAGATAAGGTGCTATTGTATCTATTACAGATAAAATAACTTTAACGGAAATCCCCCATAAGTCTGCCGTTTTCTTAACATCAATAGTTTTAAAATATTTAACGATATCTTTTGGCAGTACCCTATGGAATTTAAAAGTATTTGAACAAGCCTTTACATTTTGTTTGAGCAATGATTCGGCGACAGTAGGAGAAGAATTTAATGATTTTGTTGTCAAAAAAGGAACATCAGTAAAATGTTTCTCAAAAGCCATAGCAACTTCTTGATCAGATCGCGTTAAATTATTGTTAATATTCAATTGAAAATCCGAGTTGCGCGGTTTGACCTTGCCCGTTTCACTATTTATTATTCTCCAGGTCATTTTAATTTTGTCGGATGCAGTTTTAATTTTGTTGCTTAAATGTAAAGCCTTAGCAGTGGAGCACACTTTTTTTAATATTTTAGAATATGTTTTTACATAATCTCTAAATATAACACTACTATTATATGATCTTTCATCATAAAGCTCGTATAACCTTCGCCTACTTTTATAAATTCCTACTGTCGCCCATTCATTAAATGATTTGCGACTATTAAAAGAGAAAGTTTTAGAAGTAAATATTCTACTAAATTCACAACGTATAATTTCAAATAATGTAGCATACAAATAATTAGCAATATTTTTAAACGAAAGTGATGGAAGTCTTTTTATTATATTACTTCTAAACCTCTCCAAGCGATGTTCATTTATTGGAACAAACACAACTTTCTTATTTTTCTGTTTTTTGTGTATGTAAGGTAGTGATACTAACTGTCCACAGTGATCTGAACTTAAATTTTGTATAATTGATTTATGCAAGGGCTTAACATCTGTAAAAATGTTATCTATACAGGTCGCACTAGGCCCAGCAATACGTGTTGGTTCTAAGAATAAATTTACAAGATTATACGATTTAAACAATGAGCTAAACTTAATACTAATGGAAGAAGTTTCAAGGAGATTGATATTAAAGTCTCCACACATTACAACAGACTTGTTCTGTTTACTAAGTTTGAGTAAAACTTCTTCCACAATCCTTTCAAAATGGTCATAAGTAGCACATGGGGGTCTGTAAACACTTACAACAATGAGGTGCTCGAGCTCGACACAAGCCATTTCTACAGTTCGTTCAACAGAGAGGCTCACAATATCCTTACGTTCTTTATATAATAATGATTTATCTGCTAATATTAAGGAGCCACCACGTAAACTTTTTTCTCTATTGAAGGAACTGACCACCTGGTGATTTCTGAAATTAAACATGAAATTATAATCATTTAGCCAATGTTCAGTAATACAAAGGATGTGTATATTGTTACTATTTAAAAACAATTCAACTTCCAATTCTTTGTCCAACATGCCTTGTATATTTTAATGCACCAGGTGTAAACAATTTTTATTACTTATTTGTGGGCTGTATTCAAAATTAATTAAACTCTTATTATTGCTAGAGATTGCCTCTATTGTCACATGATTTGACACATTGATTGATCTCTACACTTTTGTAACAAATTAACTTCCCTGTATGAAATCTGACAAATATTTCTCTTCATTTCTCTAAGTGGCGCCGCCCTTGTGGCAGAAAAAGTCGTATATATCACTGTCTTTATCGAGCATCTTTATTTTTTAAACGTCCGTTATCAACACCGTTTTCGACAACGGTGACGCTGACGTCGGTGCTGACATCAAGATAGTGTAGCATTGTAGCAATGTGTTATGTACTTAGAGTAATTACACACATACGTATCATAAACCAACACGGGCCGCTGACGCACCGGACATGAATGGCCATACGCAGGCGTTCCCCTGTGCCAAAATATAACTCCATAATATGACGCAGCGGCCCTATGTTTACAACAAAACTAGCTTCAATCGCACTGCTCACTAGACTAAATTTAGTTGCGCGAATGAATCGACGCCCTACAAAAATGACGAATTGTTCAGTTTTTTTGCTGGAAAAAGAGATCTACCGCGTCAAATTTACAAAACGATGACGTTACTTTTTATAAGTAATTATTAATCACTAAGTTAGTCACATTATTGATATTTACTTCTTTTTAACAACTCAGAACCTTATTCTTGCTATTATTATCCTCGACTTTAGGTATTTACAAAACTATGCACAAGTTGTCGCTGTCACAGAGCGATACTGTTACAATATATCAATGTGTGCGTGTGTGTGTGTGTGTGTGTGTGTGTGTGAAATAGTGAGTTTATTGTTTTAATTGTTGTACGAGTTTGTTAGAGATAGACGATTGCTTTTGTGTGCGCAGATTACCTAAAAATGACAGACAGGCTACATCCCTCCGAACCGCCGGTTGCCGTGATGGCTCTACAAGTATAGCCATCGAATGACTCGGTTCGAGTCGTTGTGCGTTGAGGTCGGTGTCGATGATACTCGGGCACGCGTAAAGTTCGAGTAACATTTCGGCAACGTTTGCCGTCATCATGTACCTACTGTCATCGAAGATCAACAATGTTTTTATAAAAAAGGCCTTTACTATGAACAAACTTTGTTTGCAGATTTTACATTGTCTATCCAATATATTATTCTGTTTACATACAAAGAAAAAACATGATAATGAAGATGAAATAAGACAATAGGTCCAATAATAATAATAATAATATATTTCGTTTCACAAATTTGTATTTACATGATGCTTACTTAAATTATACTGATTCATTATCAAACAACAATTCAAAAAAACAAAAATACTATGTGGATGTACTTATAACTGGTATTTGCTTCCCCAGGGGAACCTTTTATTACAAGTCCTTTGACCAAAGTTTTTATATTTTATTTATGGATGCATATACTGAATTATTTTTTTATTTAGGGTCATAATGGAGGTAAAAATAGTTAGTTTCATAAATAAACTCCATTAAATTAAGCTCAGTTTTAAGAATAAGACTTAAATAACTTTAACAAGATGTGTTGGAATGCTTGCAATGACAGCTATGAAAGAGCAGTCAATGAAATAATTTGTCGGTTAATAGATTTTGAACCCAAGAACGCCAATATAATGAGACACAACATTTATATGTAAGTATATTTTCATCAATGTCAACAATTATGTACAAGAAATGAACACTGTAATATCATTAATTTATTCAGTCAAAGTTTTAGAGATTAGCCAAAACTGTTGCAAAACACTTGCAATATTAGTTACAAATGGCTTAATAGTAAGAGCTTGAGTGGTTTAAGCGTAGGCTCAACTTTGACTGTGCGTATTCCACTTGACTGCACAACTACTAATTATAGGCTAGGCGTATGAACAGTTCTATATTCGCCCAAGACAGTTTAGAAGAGCAAATCTTCGTCACCCTCATCGAGCAAGTTCGCGATGTCACGTTCGTCGTTCCCGGCCGCCACCTTCGCCGCTTTTGCCTGAAGAGTAAAAGAAAAAAGCAATGCAATTTAGAAAAATCCGAGGAGTTTGGCGGGAGCTTAATTTCATCCTTTTCTACCTTTTTGTAAAAAACAGTAGAATTTTCCCCAGTACCGTGGAGGCGATTTACATACATAAATTGCACAAGGACCTTATAAGCACTTTAATCGTGCAGGATTCGAAACCGCAGCCGCGCATACCTTAATGGTATATATAATGATTTTAAGTGGATTTTTAAATTCCGATACATAAAAGTTGTGTGGTCTGTACATTATATGAAAAACAGAGTTATTGTGTCAGTTTTGATGGCTTGAGAAATCATTGATATCGACTGTATAGTTAAGTTGTTTAAAAAAATTAATAGAATCAGGCGTTACTTTGCGGAAATCCATTATATAAAAGATTTTATAAATATTTTTACTTCGCAAATATCCGCGTTATAAAATAAAATGATGTGTCTTAGCTAGTATGAAGAGCACCTCCCGCCCTCCCTGAATTGCGTGCACTATCCCTGTCACCAGGGGTAAGACACATCATTTTATTTTATAACGCGGATATTTGCGAAGTAAAAATTTTTTTAAAAGCTTTTGTTTAAAAAAATTAAACGATAATTTCCAACACTAGCAAAAGCACTTACTGTACGAATCTCCAACCAAAAAAAAAACTATGAATGTTCCCGTGAACGTCGAAAGGTAAAATAAGTAATTTAAATAAAAAAACATACATCCTCACTTTTGATAGAAATCCATTAAAATGAACATTCATCAAAATGTTGTGTTAGCCATACTGTTAAACATATTGTTTTGCTAGCACTGTTTTAGTACTGTTGCCATAACATGAAACCTCTACCACTTTGACAATAAAAACAAACCTAACTATGCTACAGGTCATAAAGGAACTGTATATACACACAGGTGTACAAAGATAGATATTAATATTATATATCCAGGGCAGACTGGTAATTGCAGGCGAATATCTGCTATTGACATTATCTAACATTATACTGCATATATAAACTCTTTACATCCTGGCGTAAAAAAATCAATGGCCACATTTCACCCCATGGGAGTATTAAGAGCGGAATCCGGGAAATGTCCAGATCCTGAGGCGTCCACTGAGTGACGGTATAACAATATTGTATAATGTATGCCAGATGTAGGTTAGGTTAGCCAGAGCAGCAACTAAGAGCATTATCAATGTGTGAAACATCAGCTACCTACTGCGATCGCTAATCAAACTTCCAAATGTGACAATTAAGGTAGATACTCCGTACAATGGGAGACTGCTAAATACAGGACATATGTAGCAGTGAATTGTGCACAGTGTTAACATACGCAAATCTTATATTTTACAAAATGGCATTAGTTAAAAGATAGACCTTTTATAAATTAGTAAACTCGTTTCTTGAAGGTCCCTAAGTCGTATAGGTCTGGAAAAGTTGCCGGTGGTAAACGATTCCACAAAGAGGTCGTGCGGGGAAGAAAACTCCTAGTAAAACGTACAGCGGTGGACCGCCAATCATCCAAATGGTGTGGATGGTAGCGCAAGTTCTGTCGTGATGTGAATTGATGGAATTTGGAAACTGAAAGTCCATTGCTGAACATAGATCTACTCTATAGATTACCACAAAGTACGGCCCTGAGCCACCTGCATTCATCGACTACCAGCCTGTTTCATCAGGTCGTCACTCCATCTAGTGCTACTCCGTCTAACACGATACTAATAAAAGTAATAAAACTTACAGCTTCAGCTTTATCCTTGATAATCTTCTTCTTATCTTGGATCTTCTTGAGTCGATAGAACTCCTCACGCTCCAATTCGTCAAGTTCTGAGATGATATATGCTAGAGTACGCTCCAATCGTGGGATAATCACTAAAACAAATGGTGAGTATTGATTAAATAAATTATGCTTTGAGAAAACACAATGTTTTGAAGTGTTGCTACTATAACTTAATTCTGTTTGTTTTTTTTTTAATTTATTCATTCAATTAAATACACAATTTGGGTTGACTCTTAAAACACCACTACGTTAAATACAGATATTAAAAATAATTGTAGAAATCGAAAATGTCAAATTAATAGTGCAAGCTGTATTTCACTTTCAACTGTCACATTAATCTATGAAACAAACTTATTAAAATAAAATAAACGTTTTCTCCTGACATACACTTTACAGATCAGAGGGATCCAACTTTGTATGAAATCTAAGAAATTTACACACAATTATAATTTTGTGTAAATTTCTCGTGTGTGTTGGGCGTATAAAAATAAAGCGGGAAAAGATATCACTGTTTCTTTCGATTGATGCCATTTTAAAAATTAGATAAAAAATTCATATTACATTGGAACAAACTGAAAATGTTATTTCTTTTTTATTTTTATTTTCGTACATTTTGTGAAATGATACACACACGTCATTGTATCAATATCGTAAGTACGTATGTCAAATTAATGTCGAATGTTTTCACACATTGACTAATTTGTGCTTTTGAAATAATATATTGATTATGATGAAATCAGATTTTTGCTTGTGGTGATTCCCGCTTTCTTTACCGCTGCACTTTTTCCTGCTTTTGCTGACGACTTATGCTTTCATTAATACACGGACTCGATCACGCCTACTCATTAGCTTACTGCTAATTACTGCGGACATTCTGATAGGATGCAGGGGAATTGTGTGTCCTGATTTCGATTTATAAAATAAAAAAAATAAAAATCTTTATTGCAATTACATAAAGCTGTAAGATACAGAGTTTGGAGATCACCTTTTAAGCAAAGAGATGCTTGTGTTAGGTGATTCCGCTCTTCCACTTAACATTATACTGTGTATGTAATTGGAAACAAAATAAAAGAAAAGAAAGTACAAATACAAAAAGGATAAGGAGTGCACTTGTGTGATGTAAGTGAGTGGGGTTTTGAGTATAGGCGCACACGTGTGCGTGTGTGTGTGTGTGTTTGTTCGTTCGTTCGTTGTGTTTATGGGTTAATATTGTTGACCTGCTTGTATATATGAGTTTTGGCTTTAAGTTTAGGTTTAGGTTAGCCCTACGACAATGTCTTGGGATCGGAAGAAGCCAGGCAAAGCTTCCTCCACTAACGATTTCGTTACTGCGGTCCTGTTGGTTACTAGACAGATTATGGTAACGATGATACCATAGCCTCAATGTCATCGTAGGTTTTAGTCTTAAGCCAATTAGTCACAGCTAGTTTACAGTCACGGAGTTTTAGAGGATAGATGTTTAGCTCTTTATTCAACAGGTTGTATAAGTGGGAAGATTGCCTTGCATACTGCCGCTTGACAAAAATAGATCTAACTGGGACAGTTGGAGTGACCAAGTAGCTTCTTCTACTACTCATAATTGGCTTTTTGGGGTTATACGGGAGGGATTTATGTTTACTCAGAATAAGGTGGAGTAGGTAAGTTTTCTTACAAACAATAGGTTAGAGGTTAGGTAAAGGCTTTGGGTTGAAAATCTATAGGGTTTAAAAAGCATAACTTTAAGCACAGATCGCTGCGCCCTCTCAAGTTCTAAAAATTTAATTTTTGTGCATTGCAGACAGTATGTAAGGATAGATTGGGCTAATGATATGTAGATTTTCTGCAAAAGGTTCTTTGAGGCAACGTGTCGCAATGTTTTAAAAGTCCATATTAATTTCCTAATCCTATTCATGGTCAGTTCAGTATGCATATGCCAGGACATGCGTTGGTCAATCATGATACCCAGGTATTTAGTATACTGTAACCTGTCAATTTTTGTACAAGAGCAGTCAGGAATTGGGGGGTTAGCACAGGAGTGGATCTTTATTTGGAATTCGAGTGGTGGTTGAGTGCGTGTATACTTGGTGAAGCATACGTAATTGGACTTGGAGGCATTTAGTGTGAGGAGGTTACGCTTGAGCCAAACTGCAATCTTAGATAGGCCGATTTCGGCTGACCTTTTAACTTTTGTCCAAGTGTTATCAGCAAAGACTACGGCAGTATCATCCGCGTATGAGAAAATGTTACCACTGTCAATAGTCATATTGCATAGGTTATTAATATATATAAGAAACAATGTCGGACCAAGGACACTTCCCTGCCTGACACCGTATGAAATTGTTTCCTCTGAGCTAGTAAACTCCCCTATTTTTACTGCTTGTTTGTGACTACTTAGGTAGGATTTGAACAAATCGAGAGGGATTTACAATCTTAACTCTTCATTCAACATCGAGATCTTTGTAACAGATATATTTAGTTTTATAGCTTTTTTATATAATTGATTATTTATGGTCCTGCGGCTGTCGTAAAATTAGTTACTAATCTGTAAATATTTACACCTCCTCCACACATGTCATAATAATATGTAGCTTGAAAAATAATTTTGTAAATAATATAACTCGTTTAGATGACTAGGACTTAGTTTTTATGAAAAACAGGTGGTGTTAGTCTTATATTGTGCAGGGACTGACAATTTATATTCTGAAAATACAATTAACTGCAACGAATGCTGTTCTAAAAATAAGGTAAATGCAATTATTAAAGTTCAGTTTAAAAAAAGTTGCAAGTTCTAGAGACTTATATAATCTGGATGGAGTAATAAAGTAGAAAAAAATTTTTGCATACGGCATTCGTGTCCACCACACTTTTGAGTGGGGCAAAGTTCTATAGAGAATCTGGCATTCTCTTCTTTCTCATCAAACAAATTTTAAAAGTTACAGAATACAAAGGTTTGAAATTCCCGCTAAAAAAGTATTATATGGGCGCCCACCGTGGCGCTTGGAATGTACACTTATAAAAACGTGTTTCCTTTTTTTAGTATGAAGTTGGCGTTCTTCTCTCTGTAGAGAGTAATTGTGTTCTGTACCACAGACTATTGAAAAGGGGAAATTTGAAATTACACGATATTCAAATCTCATTCACGCAATCTATCAGTAATTATTTGTTGGCAACATTTTAAAATTCTTTCCTGACAAACATATCTTATATTTTTACTATAAGGGCGACAATCTCTTCTTTGCGAATGTCTGATCACTGACTATATTGTGATTAACATTGGCAATATGAACATAAAACTCTACAGACTATTTTGTGTTTGACATTGGCAGTATGAAGGTAAACAGTGAAAGGTTTATTTTCCTTCTCCATATAAACTTTAATTATGCCAAATCTCTCATGCCTCCATGCACACCATATGCATAAAAAAGGTACAAAGTTATCACTTCAAGTATGAATATAAAGATAAGATAAAAGAAGAACAAACATGAAATAAACACATGGAAAGAAACACGAGCTGACGCGTGCCTTACGTTAGCAAAAATAAGTATTTAAGCACTTTAGACATTTATTGTTGGGTTTTTGTTCAAGTATGGCCTCTCAAAAACCAAAAGGTACTGCATAGTTTAAATATACCAATATACTGTATAATTGAAATATTGGTGACCTTAGCATAGATAATTGTAAGTATATAAGTTTTAGCAAGAAAAAAAGTATATAAATTACTTCAATTATTCTCTGTGCGGCGCAAATCTCAAAAATCTAATGCAATGCGAAAATAAGACATAATCTGAAATAATTTTACATCTGTAAAAGAAACCGATATAATATTATTACCATATCCATATCCAGATCCGAATTGTCATATCCGTAACATCCCTGGTTTCAAGGAAAAATGAGGTTACAATTGCAGGTATATATATTACTATATACTAATATTTTGAATGGTTATATGTTAATATAAGTTGCTACAAGTCATAGTTGCCACTTGCCACTAGCTTACTCAAGCATGATGAATGATGAATTAATAACTATTTTTTTTGTCAAGACCAAATATTAAAAAAATTGTCTTACCATGCTCAATAGCATTAACACGTCTGTTAGTAACCTTGATGACCTCGTCTAGGGTAACAAAAGAGGTTTGCAGTGATGCCAGCTCAACAAGTAATTTAACAGCACTCTGGAAGTTCTTTTTCAATTTAGACAGTTGTTGGCCACCTCGAGCAAGGCCAGCCAATTCATATGTGTCTGAGCCATCTTGATATGATTCAAAAATTGGGAGTGTTACACCTGGAATGCAGATTTATAAATGTGAGAATTATTTAATTGTGATTATTTAATTAAATTTCTTGGCTCGGCTTTAGATTAACAACACAAAGTCCGTAAACACAAATAACTTTAAAATACAAAAAAGTGTACCTAAGTTTAAGTGCTCGGAAACTCATAGTTTTAGAAAAATTAAGAACAAAATTTATTATAATTTATAATTTTTCTTCATGATTATTTTAGCTTTTTTTCTAATAATGAACACATTTGACATGTTGTATTTCGTTTATGCAAGTTGAGTAGGGGTTTTATAAAAATAAAATATTCTTATTTTTGTTTTTAAAATTTAAATTAACTCATATTGCATTAGTTACAAAATATATTATAATACAGTTAAAATTATTTTCCGCATTCATTTTACGAAAACATATGCAGTTAAACAGTAACAGTAGGTAATTATTTTTGACTAAAAGTAGTTTTCACTGAAAAAATAATTGGTAAAGAGATTTCTGCAGAAAAATATGGGTTATAAGTAATTTTGACCAAGAGTAGTAATCAGTTTCAACCAGAGGTCATTACAAAAACTATTAGACATTTTACAATAATATTTGTTTCTGATCAATTTTAGGACAAACTAGTTTTTTCTTGCTTTCATAAGTTAGCTTAAATAGACATATATTTCATACTGTTGGAAATAGAAATATTAGCAACAATAGGTTGTGATGCTAGTAAACTTTTGCAGCTGTACCAGCATGTTTGCTGGTAGCATTTTTGCATATATGCTACATCCCACAGGGCTTAGGAAAAATTAGTTTAACCTAGGAAAACTAATAATTCCTAAAATTCGGTTGGTCAGTAACAAATTGTTTTTAATGCAGATTTTTTTTTAAACTAGTTTTGTCTGCAAATAAAAAAAATATGCATTTTTGAGAGTGGGTTACGGAAGGAGGTACCCCTTTCTCTTCTTATTCTATTTAAAAAATCCCAAAATGCTTCTAATTGGCACTAATTTATAAAATTTTCAAAAATTTTAAAAAGTGAGTGGCACTGTGACAGGTGATCCCTACACCTTTCCTCCCCTGCTTCTCCTCCCCCATTTCAGTAATAAAGAGTATTAATCAAAACTCCTTTCTTATTCTTTCGCTTCTTAACCTTCTTGTAACATTGTGATGTTATTTAGATACCAAAGCAATTTAACATAAAGAAACATAAAACCCTAATGTAATCTTATAAGTTTAGTAAGTCTTAAACTTAATTTTTTAACGACTTAACGCAAAATCGTTATTTTTCAATTAATGTTTACCTGCAACATTGTCCTTCTTGGAGCGAATCTTAATCTGCGCTTTAGTTACATTTTGCAACACAACCTGATTAAAGTCTCCCGTTGTAAACTTAGCTTCAGCAAGGGAAAATGCAGCTTCTTTCATTACTTCCCCCATAAGGGTTTTTGTCTGGAAAATAATAATAAGTATATGTACACACTAGCAAATCCAATGTAACATATATTTCAAATGTATAATTTATTTACATAATTTAACAATGGCTAAGCTATATTAATACTGAAGTAAATATATCCATTTTATGCAATAAATTTAATTTTTTATTTGCTATTACAATAAGTTTTTTGTATAACTAATCTATCATATACTGCAGAGCCTTCTTATTCCCAGGTTTACATAGACTTACCTCAATGATTTTGCTCAAAATCATACGGAACCTGACTTGCAAAGCATCAGCTTTTTTCTTAAGGAGACCATGGCCTTTTTGTGCTCCAGCTAATCGACCCTTTATTAACATTTGAGCACTAAAACCAGAAAAATATAATTTATGACCACTTCTTAACTTCGCAATTCTTGTAAAAATTTGAACTACAACTGCAAGAAAAAACTTACCCCCGGGAAGGGAAAATAGCTAATCTATCTTTGCCAGACATTTTTAATTTCGGAAAATATTGGCCTTTTGCCTTTTTTCAGAAATTTTTCCCAATCCCAATCACCTGATGACAGAAAACGATTGTCGATAAAATAATTGTCTATGCTTGGTCTTGTGATTACCGAAGAGTATATAATCATAACACTACAGATCACGCTCACAAAAATATACATTAAAAATGTATTGTGCAAACGAGATGGAGCATATATCTTTAATTTTTTTTTATAAAAGCGGAGCGCTCGAACTAAAGATAGTAAAATCAAGGTACTTCGACACGTTTCATAATTTATTTATTTTTAAATACCAATGCGCAAATACATGTTGCCACTGTGCTAGCAGTGAGTCGAAAAAAGCGAAGTTATTTTTTTTTTGTAGAAGGAAGACAAACGAGCACACAGTCCTGATGGTAAATGGTTGGTAAATGCATACTGTGAACAATAGACATTTACATTTATTATACGTTAAAAATCTAAATGCAGATGTGTTGTCACCCCTGAAGACTGAGATGGAATGCCTCGTTTCCAGTAAAATGGGTCTCCGGTTCTCTACACATACCATACGAAATACAGCACTAAGCTACAATTTTACTCTGGTATTTCATGAGGGCGTGGTACTACACCGGTCGTGCAGACCCATTTGTGCTACAACTATAATATAGCTGCAACTTGGCTCTTTTTATTTGCAAGCGCAGTGAAACAGAGGCGAGCAGTAAGGGCTTCAGAACCAACACTGTAACGTAGAGATTATCTTAAAGGAACAGGAAGTGTCATGACAATGCTCTGATGAATCTCGTAAACCCGGCTGCCTTGCAGAACTGCAAACGATGTTTGCTTCGGGAACAATGAAGGCCATGACTTTTTTTGCAACCATTGCGGCTCCACGTTGGAATTAGGTGGAATATTTGACAAACTACATACTATTAATAATATTTGACAAATTAATGTAAAATAATTAATTAAAATTAATTTGTTAGGAAAATGTAAGAGTTAATGTTTCTCTTTGTATTAATACTTAAATTTTATATTATTAGAAATGAATAAACCAAACTACAGATTTTCCTAAAAGTAGAAAAATAAAAAAAGATCTAAATAATGTGAAAAATATTATAAAATAACAAACAAACATTATGAATTAAATAAATATACTATTTGTTTTGTGTATTTATCTAATTCTCTATACACGCATAAAATTTTATTTAAAATGCAATATCTCAATTATATGGCATTGTAGTATAGTAGTTGTAGTGCACGGCGCGTCGCGGGGCTCAAACTAATAAGAAGAAGTACTAGCGCACGTCGGGATCACCACTTAGATAATGAACGAAAAAGGAGAACGGAAGATCTCCCGCCTATGAAGCTATTCAGCCCATGAAGCGGTCAACACTTACAGCGCGCAACAGGCATACGGAAACACTTCGAAAACTTTGATTGCGTGGATGTAGGCTTCAGTTCGTTTACGCTTGTGGTGCGACAACAGCAGTGCCATAGAACTAATGAATGATCTTTTTTGTCATCATCATCTCTAACCCATCCATTAATCTGTTGTAAGAACGCTCCCCGTCTATCAGCAAATAGCCATTATATAAATGTCTGTTTACTAGTTCTAAAAATCTGTACATATAACAAAATTGAATATCTGTAATACTGAAATAACTGCCTTTTCAGAGGTTATTTCTTGTCCATCTGTGTGTCTGCCTATCTATCCGGGCTAATCTTCGGAATGGCTGAACCAATTGTAATGAAACTTCACGAACAGATAGAGAATAATGTCAGAAGCAATCTAGGCTTTATTTTATCTGGAAAACTTAGAAGCTTTCTAGGGATCCGTAGCCAAATTGCAAAAAACGGAACCCTTATAGATTCGTCATGTCTGTTTGTCTGTCCGTCCGTATGTCACAGCTATTTAAAAAAAAACAATAAATTTTGGGGGTTCCCCATACTTAGAACTGAAACTCAAAATTTTTTTTTCATCAAACCGATATGTGTGGGATATCTATGGATAGGTCTTAAAAGAGGAGGTTTCTTATATAATTTTTTTCTAAACTGAATAGTTTGCGCGAGAGACACTTCCAAAGTGGTAAAATGTGTGCCCCCCCCCCCCCCCTTACTTCTAAATTAAGAGAACGATAAAACTAAAAAAAATATATGATATACACTACCATGTAAATTTCCACCGAAAATTGGTTTGAACGAGATCTAGTTAGTAGTTTTTTTTTAATACGTCATAAATCGTAAATTATGTTACTTGCTGCTACGGAACCCTTCATGGGCGAGTCCGACTCGCACTTGGCCGCTTTTTGCTTACGAGAAAACGAAAAATTGATAAAATAAATAGTCTTACATCTAAATAACGCCACATTAAAACACACTCAGGCGTAGCCAGGATGGGTTGTCATCTTATTAATATTTCTGTAGTTCGTTAAAACCTGCCTGTCATTAATAACTTGGAATGTTAGAATGGGCGGTAGTTCAAATAAAATAAATACTAATCTAGCAGACTTTCTGTATGGTAAATTGTTCTGGTATCTGGTAATAAAATGGCCTTGTATTATAATTTAGCAAATCTAGTGGTTTTGCCAGACTTTCAAATTTTTTATTGGCAGCGGAGTTTTGGCAGGATCTTGACTCCCGCGGAATGTACATATTATCATTTAAAAATGATATTATGGTTTAAAAAGCAATTAATACGTAAAATTTGCTACAATTTTGTGCTTAAGTGTCCGTGCATGTAAGCTATTATTCTAACCTATATTAATTTAAACATTATTCAATGTTTAAATTAATATAGGTTTTAACCGTTAGGTATAGAGTCGTCAAAATCTCCAAAAAACTTCGCAATTTGATGCATCAGCATATTATGAAGAATTTAACTACTACTAGATTGCATCATCTGCCTGTCTTAATTGCACTTAATGAGGTCTAATAATCTTACGCTCACCGGATGTCGCTAGTTGGGACTGAGGTGAACATATTTGTTACGCAGATGGTCACGTAATGTCATCATTATTGAAAAGTTGCGATTTAATCATAAGTTTTTCGGTTTCAAAGCAATATCTCAGTGTCGTATTTCTAATTTTTTGCACATTTTAACCCTTTTTAATTTTTTTACTTTTCGGAGTATTTGTAATTCTAATCTAATTAATAGGCTTTTCTAACAAATGAACTGGGTTGGCTATAGACGTCCGGTACTTGATTTTAATATGTTTTCAGTTTAGGGGACTTGGCAAGGTCAACTTACGTGCCGCGACTTGTACATAGAAATCTTTAGTGTTAATAATAACTAGTGAAATACCATACCGGGCAACGTGCACTGCACGAGCAGATACGGCTTCGCGAAGCCCTGCCGGTTGCGACCCGTCCTTAACAGTCGCCGACACCTCTGATACATTATACTTGGTATCATCATTCACGGCTGGATTTGGAAGGGGTAGTGGAAGGTTGCTATACGCTAGATTATCATGATCATTTCAGGTCTCCCGTCTGTATATCTAATTTTTAGGTTTGTATATTAAATAAGCTGTATTTCAAGTGCACGTTAATATATAAAACGAATTGGCTATAGACGTCCGGTACTTGATTTTAATTATGTTTTCAGCTTAGGAGGCTTGTTAGAGTTAAGCTTGAACCTTTTACACGGTTTTTGGATGTCAGAAATGTGTTTTGAACTAATTACTATAAAAATAAATTTCACTAAAAATTGCTAGTACTAGTAGTAAGTAACTTTGGGTCAATATTCCTGTGTAAAAAAGTGAGGTTTAGTCGATTTATTACGAAAAACTGCCTTAAAAATCTATAACTTCAAACCCTCGTAAAAAATCTTCAGGGACATTTGCGCCATAAATCCCTTTAGGGTTTTTCATCATTTATGTTGGAAAACATGTAAAAAAGTTTTGGTCCAAATCGGAGGTGTTCCTAGAAAGGAACCATAACCCAAATTTCACTAACTAAAACTCATAAAAAAGTTAATTATTCGGACCCAAACAATCCATTTGTGGCTTTAGACGGGACTCATACACCATGAATTGAGTTATAACAATCCATATTACATTGTTTCATTTACCACTATCATAGCCAAAGTTTAGGGCAACCTGACTTTATAGATAAGATAGGTCCACAGACTAATATGATGTTATAGGTCGAATCTGTACTAAAACCGAATCAGAACGCCCCAATTCCACGTAGTCTTTTCTGGCCTACCCCTAGGGGATTTTTGTAAAGCCGTAGACGAGGAAAGAGAGCCTGTGATTTCCGCAGCGCCGAAGGCGTTACAGAAGTAACTTTGAGTCAATATTCCTGTGTAAAAAAGTGGGGTTTAATTTTAGAAAAAAAAAATATGACTCATAAAATACACATTTTTTGAGTCATATTTTTTCCTTCGCGCCGCCTTGGAGTGGGCTGTCACAGGAAAATCGCATATCTGTTCCGCCTGTTCCAGTTCCACATAAATAACAGTTCCAAAAAGCTGTAACAAAATAGCAGTCTGTTACTACAGTCTTGGTGAGTACTTCTCTTTCTAAGGTATTGAACCTATGCGAGAAAAGGACAGAGCTTGTGACGAGTAACAGGGTGTCACAGTAACATTTTTTATCTTATTCTAACAAAGGTAACTGTCATAAGTATGAGTAAAGAAAAACTTGTGACTGTCTTTTAGTGGATTTGTTATTTCGTAGAACAGGAGTTGTTCTTTCAGTTTGTTTGTCACAGTTATAGTGTGCTATTTTAAGATACTTCCTCAGGGTACTTCTCTTTCTAACTAAGCAGTTGAACCTATGCAAGAAAAATAAAAAGCTTGTGACGAGTAACAGGGTGTCACAGTAACATTTTTTATTTTATTCTAACAAAGGTAACTGTCATAATATGTATGAATAAAGAAAAACTTGTGACTATCTTTTAGTGGATTTGTTATCGTAGAACAGGAACTGTTCTTTCAGTTTGTTTGTTACTGTTACAGTCTGCTATTTTAAGATATCTGTTTTTTTTTCGATAAATACGCCTCACTCCTAGTGCCGCACTAGTGACAGAAAAAGTTCTAGATACTCCAGTTCTGTCATTGACATTATGATACTTGACGATTATTGGAGGAATTGCTGCTGCTGTATTAGATTTTGATACATAAAAGTGGTGCGATTTTATGTATTACATGTCTGCGCATGTGAACTATTGATGGAAACGATGAAACAAGTGCGTCCATGGTGATCGTCACCAACTGTTGTTGGCTCAAGCTGCCTTAAAAATCTCCCAAAAACTATATAATGTGAGACTCATTAAAATAATGTGAAGAAGTTGTGAAACAAATTATTATAATTGATAAATTCCTAAGTACTTAAAACTGGCTAAATTACAATAGTACGAGCCCAAGAACATAGAAAACTTTTTTTGGCAATACATGTCGTCTGTCAGTAAAGTGTCGAGTTTTGGCGGGAACTTGATCGGCGGCGGTTTGCTGCTCCTGTATTATAGTTTAAATAATAGTCTGAAGTGGATTTTGATATGTAAAAGTGGTGAGATTTTATGTATTAACTATCTACGCATGTGAACTGTTAGTGGAAACGGTGAAACAAGTGCTCTGATGGTGATGGATTCTCAAGATAAGCTGTTTGTTTGCATAGGTGCCTTTAGATACCATCGCCAACTGCATAATGTGACGCATCAACATATTGTGAACCATGAAAGATAATTATACATAAAGACAAGGCTGTATGGCATAGTTCCTTTGCCTGCTCTCTCGGGCGAATAATAAAAACAACAACAACAGCAATCCGTAAAGTGTCAAATGATGTTATGAAAACAAAATGTTTCTAACAACAGAATATTTTTCTTTTTGTTATATTAATTCTATAAGACATACCTACCTATGAACAATGAACCCATTATGAATAACAGTAATTCAATTTGTAGAATATGCCTTCAAGATGGGGCCACATATCCAATTTTCGAAAAGTTTAATCAAGACATTCAGTCAAAAATATCATTATGTTTACATGTAACTGTAAGCTATATTATTTCCATTTAATTAATATGTATTTGTAAACAGCTTTCTCATTACTTATATCATTTTTAGATTGAAGATATAGAAGGATATCCTCGTGTGATATGTAAAAATTGTAATGAAACACTTGACAATCTTTATAATTTTATTAATAAATTCAAGGAAAATTGCGAGATACTACGAAATGGATTGCTTAATGTCAAACAAGAAGAGATCTCGTTAGAAAGTAGTATATTCCTAGGAGAAGAAAATGAAACAGACTATGAATATGAATGTATGGATCATTTCGAAAATTTAAAAATAATTGGTGTCAAAACTGAACCAACAGTTGATTTAAAGCCCAATACAAATGACCAAACTAAATCAAACATATCACAAGTTAAAGTTAAAAGAAAAATTCAAGTAGAAAAAGAAAATGTTAGGGAAAAAGTCTATAAAAGAAAACTTCGTAAAAATAAAACCAACAGAATAGCAACATCTATTTTAGAAGGTGAATTTACATGGACTGGAGAAGAGTGGTGGTAATATTATTTTTATCTATCATTTTTGGTTAACACTGTGCCTATAGTAAGATTGATAATGTAAATATACTCTTTTTTTATTAATGCATTACAATACTAAGGAACAAGAATTTCTATTATTTCTCTCACATGTAGTTATGTCAGAAGAAGCTGTCACTGTGTAGTTACTACTAACAGTCAGTGATGGTGCGGTTAACTTTTAGACTTCTGTTTTTATTTCTTCCTGCTAGAACTGTGCTTTAAATTAGACTTGTAATGAATAGTATATTTGGCCACACTCCGAATAATTCAAGTGCATACCCATTTATCTGATAGTTCTTTTTTAATTTTCGTAATATGGAAGTTGATTATGTACCAATGACTATAATGATTGCAAATAAGAAAAGAATATTTTCATTTTACCAATTATCTAACTACAATAAAACTTCTTACATAAGTATATAATATTCGGCAGAATAGGCCAGATACTGAATAATAGTTGCATATTTGTCGCAAGTCTACTTTAAATGTTTCATTTTTTAGTTTGTTATTTTTTAAATCATCATCGAGATAATTATTGCTATTATGAATAAATACATAAAATTACATTAATTAATAGTAGAATTCTGAATACTAGGTTATATCTGTACAAGATCTCAGGGTTACAAAGTGGCATACCACCAGGTGGCACATCTAAGTGAATTACCGGGATGGTGACAAGCTCGACAAATGTTGAAAGTATTTCTGATACTTATTGGTCTTACTAATCTGATCCTGTATCACAGACTGAACCATTAGCTTCCCCTAAGGACATTATGGATACATAGGCTGGCAACTTTGTCTCTGAAAAGTTAATAAGTGAGCCTTGTAGAACCACCTGTTAAGTTTCTTTTACGTCCATATAGTCTTCCAGTCGGAAGTACTGTGCCCTACTGCTATCTTTATTTGTTTGCAAAGGCTAGAGGGATTTGTTTTTTTATGGGTCATTGAATCCAGCAATTTGTGGGTTCTCTTGATAGAATTTTGGCACAGTCGGTCAGTTATGGGGTATCATGTGTCATTCCAACTTCTCAGGAAGAAATTGCAGAGGCTACACACTTCAATTGTGCATATGGAGGACACTGAAAAAGCTGCACTCACCATTCTTTAGCTGAAAAATCAGCCTTATTACCAAAGATCTCAAATGATCATCCTCATATTGATGTTCAATTTGAGTCCACCTGGGTATGCGAGAGGTGAACATAAGGTTAACATTACCTTCTAACATTTACATTCATGTGTTTCATTCTCACCCGACAAAAGCTGTTAAGCACTATCATAATTTTTATATGTTGAAATTAGCTTTTGAAGTCATAATAGATAATAAAATAAAAAAAGTGTATGTATGATTAAGACTTGAAAGAGACGAGTATAGTCTAGGTGATTACAATAGATACAGTTTTATATAGAGACGTTTTGATTAATAATAAAAACCCTCAAATAAATTTCTAGGCAGTGAAAAAGTTTGTTTCTTAATCTGTCTCACTAGGCCTTGCTATAGGAAATGTAAATGTTGTAATTGCATTTAGGCATTTGCATTTGATATGTTTGACTTAACACACAACAGTTAAGGAAATTTTTCTTGCTAAGGTGACCACATTTTTTTGTTTATGTTCCTTTTATTGAAATCTTATATTAAATTTTCTATAATGTTATTAAGTTATTAATAGGAACTTTTAATTTACAGTTTGAGTGCAAACAAAATTGTACTTCCAACCCAACAGACTGTAAGGCAACTGCAAAAAGTAGTAAAAACAAAATTGCCTAAAGTAAAGAAGCAACCTCCACCTAAATTATGTGATCTTTGTGGTGAAGTTTTTAAAGACCAAGATAAGCTATCGGTGCACAAGAAAAAAGTGCATTTCAAAAATCCTGTCAAGTGTCCAAAATGTCCCCGGTTTTGTGCCTCTGAGTATTATTTGAAGAGGCACATGATGCGAAAACATGAGAATAAGAAACCTTTTATTTGTGCATCTTGTGGAAGAGGATTTGCATTTAAAGGAGAATTAACAAGTCATTACAGAAATGTTCATAACAAGAATTTAAAACCTAAGAAAATATTTGCCTGCAAGATTTGTAACAAAACTTATAAGTGTGCTAAATCAGTCACTGTGCATGAGAGATCTGTACACACAGGTAATATAATATTATATTTACTCTGCACTCTCTTATGAATAACTCTGCAAGACACTCCCACTAGTGTTGCCGAGATGAATGTCAAACATCTACACCCTTATTACATTACTCAGCCGTACCCTAGACTAGAGATTCCTAAAGTGGGTTCGGCGGAACCTAAGGGTTCTGTGGCAAATTCAACAGGGTTCCAGAAAATTATTTATTTTTTACTTTTTTAACAACTCCACAGTTAGGTACAAATATTATTTCAAAATAGTGCAAAATATGTGATGAGAAAACCCATTACTGTTGTGTAAGTATGTAGGTAGTTAGCAAGAATTCGGGATAATACTATGCAGTGTGGTGGGTTGCCCCACCCGCGGTTAAGTTTGGTGTTGGGACATTAGGAGGTTGGTGTCACAACGTCGTATCGTTGTAAAACAGGTTATTCAGCTTACACATAATACAGGTTGCAGTTACACATCTAGACTGGATGCAACCCCAGACATACAGATACAACTGTCGGACATAATACTGAACTATAAAACAATTATTAATCCTTATTTTTCATAATATCACTTTTAAAATATTTCTTATAAAGTAATGTTATTAAAGTTTTTTTCTTATTTAAATTTCACTGTCATTGATTTGTAATCATTAGGTGAGGGGTTACATAAAATAAAATGGATTTGGTGGGTGTTATTAACATTAACTTAAAAGTTTTGGAACCCCTGCCCTAGACTAAGAAGATAAGAAGTTTTACTGGTGTTTAGTACATAGCCCTTCCCCAGTCAATCTGACGCTTTACTATGTACAAAAACCTAGTCTATTAGTGTGCTTGCACTCGCCTCTCATTTAATTTAACTCATGTATGTGTCGCTTGGAGAGAGTGTGGAGCTATAACTGATTGTGTGGAGCTAGAACTGAATATCACCATTATTCACATTTGCGGTTCTTTTTTATACGATAGGGTGACAAACGAGCACACAGTCCACCTGATGGTAAGTAGTTGCTGTTCCCCATGGACATCTACATCTATCCTCGTTTGCAAATCAAAATGCAGATGCGTTGTCACCTGAGAGGTCTAAGATGGAATTCCTCTTTTCCAGTAAAAAGGGTCTCCAGTTCTCTACACTCACCATACGAAACACAGCAGTGTTAAGCTGCTATTTGATGCTGGTATTCTGTGAGAGCATGGTCCTTCCCTGGTCGAGCCGACCCATTCGTGCTACAACTATAGCTGCAGCATGGCTCTACCACATACAAATATATGGTTCTAAATAAGTTAGCTGTAAAGTTCTAATGGCCTCTGATATATTATTGTTGTGTAACAAACATAGGCATATACCTTACTTTTATAAATTATTTTATGATACAATATACAATATTATGATAACGAAAACTGAATTATTTCAAATGCTAACATCTGCGCAAGATAATATAACAGTGTCACAAGTGTATGTACTAACCTCCATGGTGCTAACACAGAGGCACACATTATTCCTTGAAGCTTTATATGATAATAAAATTTTAACCCATTGACCGCCAATGACGCATCAAAACGTGATTCAAAATGACGTCTTAAAACGTCTAATAATGCTGTTTGATTAGCATTGAAAAAAATGTTACGACTATGTTCATTAGAGTTTATTTTTGCACAATAGCTTATCATGACTGCGCTGAAGATATATTTAGTGAGAGAAAGCAGGAAAAACCATCTAATCAATTGCATAAAACGAACCAAAGCTGAAGCACAAAGACCAATAACTTAAATTATTTTTAGGTAATTTAAAAATACCTATTTTATTAGGTGCCACTTGTTAAACAAATACAATTAAAAATATAGCTTGTAAGTTCATACTGCGTAGATCGGAACAATTAATTATTTTTAATCTGGAGGTAGCCGTGGTTAACTGTGACATTGGGACGTCACATCTCAGTCCCCCCCCCCCATGACCATGGGTGCTGGAAATTGCTCGAAACTCGGGAATATGAAATAAGTTGATATACGCGACAAAATCCGTAAAATTAGTTTTATTTAAATGTGTGTGAAGTGTTCGCGTAAATATTAAATCATAATATAGCTTGTAATTACACCTTTCCAAAAAAATATTGTTTAGATGTGATATGTTCAAGTTTATACAATGGACATAAGTATTACTGTATCAAAGGTACAATCTTACTCTGATAAAACAACTATAATGCTTATTTTTAGTATTATAGTTGTTTTATCAAAAATATGATAACAGCTATTCACAAGTCCACTGAACATAGATCTCCCCCAAGGAACGCCACAAAGCATAGTCATGGGCCATCTGTATTCAAATATTAAGATATTTAAAGAATGTTTAAATGAAATACATGTATAGAATACTCTTTTTACTGGCAATAAGATATAAAAGTTTAGTCCTCAGGGTATTGCCATCTGCATTTCAATTTTTAATTCAAGATAGATGTAAATGTCTATGGCCATTGCATCAATTTACCATCAGGTTGACTGTATGTTCACTTCTTACTTCAATAAAGAAAGAATATGTTTAATTTCAGGTGATCGACCAGCAGTATGTTCAGTATGTGGTACTAGTTTCTTTCATGAAGATTACCTCAAAGAGCATATGAGACTCCACACTGGTGAAACTCCATTCAAATGCCCCATTTGTGGACGGGGTTACGCTCAACGGTGCAATATGAAGAGTCATCTAAGAATACACAGAGCATCAGAGTTAGATGCAGCTACTTTAAGTAAGCTAAAACCAAATTATTTAAAATTGCTTAAGGTATAAAATAATTTAATGTTATGTTAATTCTTGTTATATCTATAATGTCACTTAAATATTCATTATTAATTATACATCCCCATGAAAAGCTTGCCAAAAATACTTTATTACATTTGGTAGTACAGCAAAGATGTGGGGCTTGTAGAATAAAAATGTTTGAGTTCATTTTTTTACCAATATGCTACATAGTAAGTGTGTGTATGTCACACAAAACACTGAATAATCTGATTCTGTTAAAACTGTCACTGTATTTAATATACAGAGACAGTTTTAAACTCCATGTGAAGATTTGTGTAACATAGTATGGTCTAGATAGTTTAATATTGTGGTCTTTGATTCTTAAACTCGAAATTGTCTCCGAATACTGGCCTTAGACGGAATAAAGTTGTTGAAAAACCAGAAAAATATCTCATCTAATTTGTAATGTAATTACCAAGCATACAATATTTAACGTAGAAGTAAATATGTTAATTGTATTTTATTGACTGGATGTAAATTGTTCTTTAATACTGTTGATGTGTATATTATATATTTTATATGATGTGATGTGTATGGAAATTGTAAATAACATTGTTAATTTTTTTACATCACACATTTTTGACATAGTACCTTGTTCATACGAGAAGATTTTTCTCAGTTACAACTATTCTAAATTTTATTTTGAGTGCAATAAAAACTAAGTTATATTTAAAATAAATAAAATACAATACGTTTTAAGTTTTCGTTCATTTATTTTAAATATGATATATGGTTCCATGGGCGTGGATAAAGTCAATTTAGAAACACTAGGCATCTCGTAATTTTAGTTTAATGGCTGGATAAACAGTTAATAAAGACAATGGAACAACATATAGGACATTATATAGCAGTTAATCTAATTCTAAGAATGGCCTATACAAAAAATCTATAACTTAAAGTCTTATGCTCACAGTGGACTATTGAAGAGTTGCTCAAATATTTAAGACGTTATAGCCAGTCAATTCTAATTCTAAGAATGGTAGATACAAAACATTAACTTATTGTGCCAGCAGTGGAGTATTTAAGATTTGGTCACAAATAAACTACATCATAAATAACTTTTGCTTCAACGTTTATTTATAATTAATATTAGTAAAAAAATCTTTACGTAAGTTGCCTGATTATGATCCTAATTATTTACAATTATAAGAAAATATAATTTACATGCCATTACTTAATCTTAAACTCCCATTTCTAGTTAGCTCTAATAACCTGAAATAAAAAAGAATATGAAAATAAAATAATAGCAAAACTAAAATTAACATCAACTATTAGTTTTGTAAACAAAATCATACTCTTTTAGTGATGCTGATATATCCCTAAAACACTTTAATTTTTCCTCTTCTAAATTTGTTAAGTAGTTTACTTTATTCATTTCAAGTTCTTTCAGTCTTAATTCTTCTTCTTTAAGTTTTAGTTCAATTGCCCTTAATCTTAATTCCTCATTTTTTTGTTGTAATCTCTCTTTTTCTAGAGCCAATGTTATTCTACTTTTAAAATCTTCAAATGATGTAGTGGATGTCATAACTTCCTTTTCTGTAAATACCAAATTGTGATCTTTCTATCATTCCTTAGGAATATTTGTATTAACATTTTTAAAGTTAAAATGGTACCTACCTTCCATCTTCCTTTGTCTTCCAGTATCTGATAAGTCATTCAATAATTCTGATTCTTCATCTGAAAGCAAGACAAGATTATAAATAAACAAAATATAAATAGTACTATGTTGTAAGATATACTTATAACTCGAAGGAGAACATTACAATAGACACACAATACATTTCAAGTGCAATTATTTTTTAACTTTTCTACAATTCTTGTATGTAATAATATATAAAATTGGTTTCTTGGAAATTATTATAACAACTTAGATTTTGGATAAATTTTGTATTTATTGTTTTAAGTTTATGTAGGTTTTGTTAAATACAATAAAATATCGTATTTTAGGTAGCCCGTGCGAGTCAACTAAGCTGTACTGTTTACATTACAAATGCATTTCTTAAGAACAATATTTTTTAAGGGTAGAGGGACCGCATTACAGAAAGGTGGCCTAGGTAATTCACCCAGGTTGTAAATACGTGTATTATGCTAGGTTGCTAGGTAGCATAACTAATGGCAAAATGGTTGACTTAATTAACATTATTTATTTATAATTTTATGCAAGCACTTACATTCATAAATTTGTTATGAGAGAACAGATTTTATCCCTAAGAATTTTATTTTTTTCATAATCTATGCAAAGGTACTATAAACATTGACTTGAGATATTTCTGTCAAAAGCTTGTTTATCTTTTTTTGAATCCACTTCTGGATATTATACATTATACATTTTAAATATATTTCAAATTATGCATTTCTTAACAGATTAGCATAGAGCCTCCACCCTCCCATATGTACGAGGGCTGCACTAAAAGTATCGGGAATAGAATATTTCCACTGTTCCTGTCATATTAAAATCTTTTTAATTGAAAACTCCTTGGTTTTAAAAATCGAATACCATTTATTCACTTGCTTCTGCGTAGCATTGAAAGGAAGTTAATGGTTTTAGCTGGCAGTCTGTTAGTCTGTATGCCGACACGATAACTTCCGTTCCACTGGACCGATTGACTTTAAATTTGGTATGTGGATACCTTGAGGTAGTAGCTCGGTCGAGTTTGTTTCTGTAATTTGGGTCCTGTAGGTCAAAGGGCACCAGAGATATGGGATTCACGCAGAAGGAAGTTGTTTTTCTTGAATTTGGATTCAACTCGTTTATTTAAAAAAAGATTCTCGGTCTTGCCACAAGGTTTTATCAAACTTGTTTAGTCGTTGAGAAAATGGAATTGACTCGAGAAAATTCAAGAGCGATAATTTATTATGACTTTCGAAGTGGTTTAAAACAAAAACAGTGTGTTGACCTGATGATTTCTGCATTTGGTGATGAAGCCCCATCCAAAACCACAATTTATCGCTGGTTTGCTAAATTTCAACGTGGACGTGTCAAGCTCAGTGATGATCCCCGTCAAGGTCGTCCAAAAACTGCAGTCACCCAAGAAAACGTTGATGCTGTGCGTAAGCTGATTGAGGAAGATCGACATGTGACATTCAAATTTCACATGTCGATCTTCCTCATCTTCGAAATTCAGGCAACTTTAGACATTAGCATGAGTCAAATACAAATAATCTTGCATGAACAATTAGGTGTAAAAAAGTTGTTTTCCCGATGGATACCGCATTCGCTCTGTGAAGAGCAAAAAGCGGTTCGCGTTACTTGGTGCGTCAGAACGCTCGAAAGATTCCAAGCAGGATCCTCAAATGCTGTATACAACATCGTATCAGGTGACGAATCCTGGATATACGCGTACGAACCCGAAACAAAAAACCAGTCACGAGTTTGGGTGTTCGAAAATGAGTTAAAGCCAACAAAAATTGTTCGTTTACGGAGTGTTGCAAAAAAAATGGTGGCCACGTTTGTCTCCAAATCCGGCCATGTTACGACTATTCCTCTTGAGGGACAAAGAACAGTTAATGCAGAATGGTATGCTAGCATTTATTTGCCACAGGTCGTTTCTGAACTCCGTAAAGAGAACTGCAACCGCCGCATCATCCTCCATCACGACAATGCGAGTTCTCACACCGCACACAGAACAAAAGTGTTTTTAGAGCAAGAAAACATAGAATTATTAGACCATCCGCCGTACAGCCCCGACCTAAGCCCTAATGATTTCTATACTTTCCCTAAAATAAAGAATAAATTGCGTGGACATAGATTTTCATCACCTGAAGAAGCTGTGGACGCCTACAAAACGGCCATTTTGGAGACCCCAACTTCCGAATGGAATGGTTGCTTCAATGATTGGTTCCATCGTATGAAAAAATGTAACAAATTTCGCGGAGAATACTTCGAAAAGCAATAAATACATTTTTAAAGAGTAATGTTGTGTCACTTCCTTGATTCCCGAAATTTTCAGTGCCGCCCTCGTAATGCTACTCCACATTACCAGTCCGTGAAATTTGGATTCAGCGTTTTTGGACGAATCTCCTACCATAAGTCAGTTCCGGCGACTAATAGTAGATGATTTTCCATCAATCAGAAGGATGCACTGAGAACAGAGAAGTTGGTACAAAAGAAAAATTTGATAAATTCCCTTCAATTAAACACATTTATATGTATATGGGCTCACTCCAGACCGACCTGGTGTATTGTAGAACTGGTTTAGCCATAAGCACAACATCTGGACAAAAATCGATGTGGTCGATGTGAATCAATTTCTGACAGTGTCTTTATCATTCTAATTGTCAAGTGCATGCTGGGACATGTGTGAAGTAGGGTTATTAAATCTTATATTTTCTAAAATTTAAGTGCTGCAGTGTTCATTGTAATAAAATATTTGTTTCTTATTGAGTTGTCTTATTACATTTGTTCTTTACATTGTCTGTTAAAATAGATATATGGGAACCCTAAAATATGGCATAACTTTAGCATCCTAAGTAATTTGGATGTGTAAAAAACATTTAATATACACATATAAATAAAATAAGTGTGCTCACTGTAATATTGAAATAACTAGCTTCTATTAATCCCAGGGGGTTATTTGCGTGGTCACATTATAACACGTGGTAGACATTAATAACGATTTTTAATTTTTTTTTTCTGTCTATTATTCAGGTAAAACCAAGTTTAAAGAAATCTAGTCAAAATGAGATATTGCATAATTAACTTTAACAGTCCAAAATTGGCATCAATTATTTTAACACTTGTGAATTATAATTAGAATCTTTATTAATCTTGTATTTAAGTTTTAAGAACTTATAATTAGCCCAAAACTGAGGTTCTTTCTTACTTACTAGGTTTCAGCCTGTCAAATGTTTTGGCCTTTTCACTAAAAGGCCTATTCTAATAAACTGAATAAAGATATTTGGAGGCTTTAGCCTTTTTTGAAACTGTCTGGGCTAAGGTTCTGGTGAAGGAAGGGGGTGGCACCACTAATGTGTAGGCAAACGATGTTGCACGATGTGACTAAGTAATACAGCTATATTCTACTACAAGTAGATGACACACTAGACATGGCCAGCGAAGTTGGGTGGTTTTCGACAGTTGATTTGAAAAGTGGGTACTAGCAGGTCAAGCTAAGCTCAGAGGACAAAGAGAAGATAGTACAGGGGTTGGACATGGACTTTGGCAATTCAATGTCATGACATTCGGCTTGTACAATGCTCCTGTAACATTTGGACGCTATGCACAGAGTTATGGTAGGCCTTTGGGGAGATTCTGGCTTTGTGTACCTGAATAATATTATCATAATAGACCGTAATCTAGAAGAACATCAGTAAATTTACGTGGTAGAGCCATGCTTTTACGTGGTAGAGCCATGCTTTTACGTGGTAGAGCCATGCTTTTACGTGGTAGAGCCATGCTGCAGCTATATTACTGGCGTAGTTGTAGCACGAATGGGTCGGCTCGACCGGGGAAGGACCACGCTCTCTCAGAATACTAGCGTAAAATAGCAGCATAACGCTGCTGTGTTTCTTATGGTGAGTGTAGAGAACCAGAGACCCGTTTTACTGGAAACGAGGCATTCCATCTTGGTCCTCACGGGTGACAACGCATCTGCATTTTGATTCGTAAACGAGGATAGATGTAGATGTCTATGGGCCACAGCAACCACTTACCATCAGGTGGACTGTGTACTCGTTTGTCACCCTAATTCAATAAAAAAAAAAACTAAAATATTCGTCTACGAGAAGCAAACTTAAAGTACAAAAAATGTGCTTTCTTCAAGAATAAAGTGAGTTATTTTGGACACATTATTTCCGAAGAAAGGGTATTGATGCAGAAACAATTGGAGCCTATAAATTATATTTTATAACTTTTCAGGCATAGCCAAACCACTACACCGGCTAACAGAAGACAAGCAGGAGTTCGTTTGGGATGCAGACTGAAAGTTCTTTCCATAATCTAAAGAAATAGTTAGTTAGTTACTTTACGACTTCCTATTTTCCGTGCTGTTTTCGAGAGTCATTACGAATCGTCTCGCGCGCAGATTTGACGACTTCCAGCCTCCCGAACAAGCTGGTTTCCGAAAGGGCTTTAGCACCATAGACCACATACATACCCTTCGGCAAATTGTACAGAAGTCCGAAGAGTACAATTTGCCCTTATGTCTGGCGTATGTGGACTATGAGAAAGCCTTTGATTCCATCGAAATTTGGGCGGTGCTGCAGTCCCTTCAGCGGTGCCAAGTTGACTGTCGGTATATCGAAGTGTTGAAGTGCTTGTACAGTAGGGCTACGATGGCTATCCGAGTACAGAACCAGAGTACAAAACCTATCCAATTGCAGAGAGGTGTAAGACAGGGTGACGTCATATCCCCGAAACGTCTGCATTGGAAGACGTTTTCAAGCTTCTGGACTGGAAAGGATACGGTATCAACATCAATGGCGAGTACATCACTCACCTTCGATTTGCCGACGATATAGTCCTTATGGCAGAATCGCTGGAGGACCTAAGCACTATGCTCAATGACCTCAATAGTGTTTCCCAACGGATAGGTCTTAAGATGAATATGGACAAAACAAAGATCATGTTTAATGTCCATGTCACACCTATGCCGGTAGTTGTTGAGAACACTAAGCTCGAAGTTGTTGACGAGTATGTTTACCTGGGACAAATAGTCCGACTAGGTAAGTCCAACTTCGACCGAGAGGTCAATCGACGGATTCAACTCGGCTGGGCAGCGTTCGGGAAGCTACGACACATCTTCTCGTCAGACATACCTCAAAACCATAAAACGAAATTGTACAACCAGTGCGTGTTGCCAGTGATGACTTACGGAACTGAGACGTGATCCTTCACTGCTGGCCGTATGAGAAAGTTCAAGTTGGATGCTCGGAGTTTCTCTGCGTGATAAACTTAGGAATGAGGATATCCGCAGTAGAACCGGAGTAACCGACATAGCCCAACGGATTAGTAAGCTGAAGTGGCAGTGGGCCGGCCATATAGCTCGAAGAACCGACAACCGATGGGGAAGAAAGGTTCTCGAGTGGCGGCCTCGTATCGGTAGGCGAAGTGTAGGGTGTCCCCCCACGAGATGGAGTGACGACCTGGTAAGACATGCATTGGATGCAGACATCGATGGATGCAGGTGGCTCAGGACCGTGCTTTGTGGCATTCTTTGGGGGAGGCCTATGTTCAGCAGTGGACTTGTGAAGGGCTGTAATGATGATGAATGATGATTTTCCGTAACTCCACGTCTAAGCGCGTATTTTGTGATTAGTCGAGCAATAAAATCACTCCGAAGAAGTTTAGCAATGCTTTGATGTTGCGAGCAACTTCGGCGAGTGATCCTGCCGTGGCGAAATGTTGAGCCCTCTATGTAGCAACCTCCGGACATGCCAGCAATACGTAGGCCGCCTTTTGCTCCTCCGCAATACATGCCCTGCACAGGGGACTATCTGCAGGACAGGAGACTATCTGTAGCACAGGGGACTATCTGTAGCACAGGGGACTATCTGTAGCACAGGGGACTATCTGTAGCACAGGGGACTATCTGTAGTACAGGGGACTATAGAAAATAAATGTTTGAAGGAGCCATGTCCTGTAATAGCATCTGTAGCTATCCTGATCTGTGGCTTGTTCAATCTCATAAAGGACTTGATTAAATAACTGTTTATTTCTAGTAGGGCCTTTCTAGCTTGCCTACAGTCTTCTAGATTTTTCCAAAGCTGAGCGTGTTGATTAGTGAAGTGTTTACATACCACTGAACGAATGTTACCAAAAATAATCTGTATGATCGGTCCCGGTCCTATAGCGGCCAGAGACAAACCTCTTAGTGTAATTCGTCTGCTGCGTCATTGCCCCTGGATTCCCTGTGTCCCTTGAACCATTGCAGAATCGTTAATATTGGGCTATACAAGCAGACATAGAAGGTTTAATGTGGACACCGACGCGTAACACAGGAATGGTAACGGTATTTTTACAAATACAAAGGGTTACACAAGTTGGAGTTTGTATAATTCAGAAGACGCTTCTTAAATGTGTTACGCGTCGGGCTAGCTGTTGTAAAGACCTTACGGCATTGTCATAAATACCTCAATGGAAGAGAACAGAATTACACTGAGGACAGACCATGCTGCTTCTATTTAAAAGTCCCGAAGGGCAGTGGGACAATGAATTGAACAAGTTCAGGAATTGAACTTAGTAATGGAACATCGAAGTGAAAAAGGCCATAACAACGCCGACGCTTTGTCATGAAGACATTGCGCTGAAGGGTATAAGCAATACAGATAGGGGGAGTAAAAGGAAAAAGCAGGTCCACAATGCAGGCAATTGTACTTCAAAGTAAAGTACGTTCTTTGGTGTCTTAAATGCACTGAGTGCGCTTCGGTTAAAGGTAGCTAGACATTATTTAATAATAAGTTCAAAATATATGTAAATACTTAACATTCAAATACAAAACTTTCATTGCTTGAAAGGTAACACCGTAACATTTCATAGTATTCATGGTTCGAATATTTTAATTGCGAAATTAAACAAGGAAATTTTAAAAATACACTGGTACGTAATGAGGTCACAGTCAAGCGAACATTGTCGACTGGGGCAAGTTTGGCGGCGGCTTACGGAAGGGAAAGGGCGGGAAGACGCAATAAATCTGTAACTGATCATGAGCGTCGAAGTGGCCGAACGCTACCGAATGCTTCCAAATTCAACACTCCCTTACGAATGTGTGCATGCTAATAAAATAGTAGGCACTACATATTTATGAATGACAATCAGTTAAAATAATTCATTTCCACTCAATTTGAATATAAAAGATAAAAAGGACAAAATGTTTGAGGTTTTTTCTTATATACCTAGTCAGGTCATAAATTCTGTCACATGTTTAATATAAAATAATTGAAACAAGTTTATTCATTATGTAACCATTTATACACCAAAATGAACTTAACAAAACATAGATTCTTATGACACTAAAGTTTATTCAAAATGACCTCCGTGATTTTGAATACAGGCCTTCAATCTGCGCGGCCAGTCGTCTATCGCAGCATGAACGAGGTCCATGTCAATATCGGCGGCTGCCTTAATCAAGGATGTCTTGAGTGACTCCAAATTGGGATGAGGCTTTGAGCACGCCTTTTCCTCCAAATGTTGCCATATCTTGTAATCTAACGGATTCAAATCTGGACTGGAGGAGGGCCAGTCTTCGTGCCGGATGAAGTCGATTTCACGCGCCGCCAGCCAGTCTTGTGTGCTCTTCGCTCTATGAGCTGGCGCCAAATCTTGTTGGAATACCCAGTGCCTGTTATTGAACATGGTATGAGAAACAGGTTCCACAAGGTTCATCAGGACTGTATTTTGATACACAACTGCATTCATTTTTACACCTTTCTCACAAAAATGTACCTCTGTTAAGCCCCAATAAGAAACTCCCAACCATACCATGAGCGAGGATGGAAAATGACCTCGTTGGACACGCGGAATACGGTTGCTCGCTTCTTCACTACTGTGTGCGTACACCTTATCATTTTGTTTGTTGTAGCTCTCTTCTACGGTAAAAAATTTTTCATCCGAAAAAAGTATTTCCCGATATTTTTTTCCCGCGTACCGCTTCAACAAAGCGCGGTATCTCTTCAGTCTCAGGTCCATTAGACGAGCATTCAAACGATGTCCTGTTTTTCTTCGACATGCCCGAAGCCCTAAGTCCTTCATTTAACACCCTTTTCACCGTGGTTCTGCTTAACCCCATCTGAAGGGCCAACAGTTTCTGCTTACGTTTGGGATTTCATTGAATTCGCGCCTTCACAGCTTTTATCACTGCTGGAGTCCTAACAGACCGAGGGCGACCACTTTTTGACCTGTCATCTACACTAGAGTCTTCATTGTATCGTTTGATGGTACGATATATCTTTTGGTTATATTCAAATTTTTCAGTATGTCAAAAATTTGAATTGGCGCGTAACCGCAACGATGCAACACAATAACTGCAACACGCTCTTCTTTAAGCGTCCACTCTATATTTAAAAATGAGTAAAATTCTAAAAAGTATACAGTTTTATTTTCATGAACAATTCGAAATTCGAATTCAATGAACTTTTTTGTGGCCAGCATTCTAAAAGAAAAGTTTTTACTGTGTGACAATACTAATGACCTGACTAGGTATATTTTTTCACTATCCGCTTATATTACCTATCCTGAACCTCCTCTGCAAGTTTTATCGGTTATTGCAAAATAGCCTCTTCATCTTGCAAAAAAATGGTGATATTACGTCAGAATAGAAGAGAATTGTTTTATCCATTATCAGTTACAAGAATACTCATTTATGATTTTACCATTGGTTTGGAAAAAATGCTCTGTAGTGGTAAAAACCAGCAAGAAACACAGCATGAATTTTCTATGTACATACCAATTATTTCCTCACTGTCAGCTAAGTCCCTTTTGCATGTTGCAAAATACTTTAAGACATTTTTATCTTCTTCATTGGAAACTGCTTTCCGATTATTCAACTGCAATTCATTTGAATTCTCTACTAAAAATTCTATTGGTATTTCATTTTTTGTATTGTCTGGTAATTCCACTTTATGCATCTAAAATATATGCAAGTCAAGGTAATGTAAGCAAAAAAATTAACATGTAAAAATAAATAAAGATAACATTTAATATTTCAGAAAAGGTAATCTGTGACTGTGACAAAAGTTTATGTATTCTAATGTCCTTTCGTTATTTTTGTTGTAAATGTGACATTCTTTGTTATTTTCAATGTAACCATTTATACTAATTTGAGATTACAATATTCCTTAATCGTATGTCCATTCAAAAAGCTTTTTAAAAGGCTGGCAACACACCTGTAATTCCACTTGTGCATACTTTACTGCACCGGTTTAAACTTACCATCGGGTGAGCTGCACACTCGCCCGATGGTATGTGCCCTTTCCTCTACAAAAAAATAGTGATTAAAATATATTTTAAAAAGTAAAGACTGAGTTCAAAGAACTAAAAAGCATAGAAGAAGTTCACATTCTGCAGTCAAGGCTTCAATTCTTTTATATATACTTTATCTAAGCACCAACTTTGGAATATGAAATTATTTTATTATTGATTTTTATTTTTTGACTAACAGAGATATAATGGGTATATATATACATCATCATTACAGCCCTTCACAAGTCCACTGCTGAACATAGGCCTCCCCCAAAGAATGCCACAAAGCACAGTCCTGAGCCACCTGCATCCATCGACTTCCTGCATGTCTTACCAGGTCGTCACTCCATCTCGTGGGGGGACGCCCTACACTTTGCCTACCGGTACGAGGCTGCCACTCGAGAAACTTTCTTCCCCATCGGTTGTCGGTTCTTCGAGCTATATGGCCGGCCCACTGCCACTTCAGCTTACTAATTCGTTGGGCTATGTCGGTTATTCTGGTTCTACTGCGGATATCCTCATTCCTAAGTTTATCACGCAGAGAAACTCCGAGCATAGCCCTCTCCATAGCTCGCTGAGCGACCTTGAGCTTCCTCATACGGCCAGCAGTGAAGGACCACGTCTCAGTTCCGTAAGTCATCACTGGCAACACGCACTGGTTGTACAATTTCGTTTTATGGTTTTGAGGTATGTCTGACGAGAAGATGTGTCGTAGCTTCCCGAACGCTGCCCAGCCGAGTTGAATCCGTCGATTGACCTCTCGGTCGAAGTTGGACTTACCTAGTCGGACTATTTGTCCCAGGTAAACATACTCGTCAACAACTTCGAGCTTAGTGCTCCCAACAACTACCGGCATAGGTGTGACATGGACATTAAACATAATCTTTGTTTTGTCCATGTTCATCTTAAGACCTATCCGTTGGGAAACACTATTGAGGTCATTGAGCATAGTGCTTAGGCCCTCCAGCGATTCTGCCATAAGGACTATATCGTCGGCAAATCGAAGGTGAGTGATGTACTCGCCATTGATGTTGATACCGTATCCTTTCCAGTCCAGAAGCTTGAAAACGTCTTCCAATGCAGCGGTGAAGAGTTTCGGGGATATGACGTCACCCTGTCTTACACCTCTCTGCAATTGGATAGGTTTCGTACTCTGGTTCTGTACTCGGATAGCCATCGTAGCCCTACTGTACAAGCACTTCAACACTTCGATATACAGACAGTCAATTTGGCACCGCTGAAGGGACTGCAGCACCGCCCAAATTTCGACGGAATCAAAGGCTTTCTCATAGTCCACATACGCCAGACATAGTGGCAAATTGTACTTTTCAGACTTCTGTACAACTTGCCAAAGGGTATGTATGTGGTCTATGGTGCTAAAGCCCTTTCGGAAACTGGCTTGTTCGGGAGGCTGGAAGTCGTCAAGTCTGCGCGCGAGACGATTCGTAATGACTCTCGAAAACAGCACGTAGACACGGCTCAGAAGGGAAATCGGTCTGTAGTTCTTCAAGAGCGTTGTCACCTTTCTTGAAGAACAAGACCACCGCACTTCTGCTCCACGCCTCCGGTGTTATGCCACCATGGAGGACGGAATTAAAGAGCTTCTGAAGGACTTCAAGTACCGGTCTTCCACCCGCTTTCAGAAGCTCCGCTGTAATTCCATCCTCGCCTGGGGCCTTACCGTTTTTAAGGTGCTGGAGAGCCATTCTAATCTCGCTCAGACTGACGTCCGGGATATCTTCGGAATAGTAAATATATATACATACTACAATAGAAAAGGTATACAACATTTTCTGGGCACGTGGTGGCTGCATTTAAGGAAATCTATCACACCATTTCCTCCCATGGGTGTCTTAAGAGGCAACTATTGGATATGCCAGAAAGATCAATGAACCAAAGATGGTGGACACAAGGTGGTTATACCGGCCAGTCAGGCAGACATCATGTAGAACATAAAATACTCAGACCGGTGATAGGTAGCAGTGCTGAAGGTGCAAAATGTCTGCTTCTTCAATCATCAATCCATCTATCGAGCAAGACAAGGCTAATCCAGCCTATGATAGGAGGCCTTTCTGCTACTGCTACTGCACAAGGGCTTCCATCTTTTCTTATCCTTATAAAGCTCCAGTAGGATCCTTTTACAGGCACATAATGATATACTACAATAGGGATATGTTGGCAAATTTTTGAATGTGGTAGAGCCACACTGCAGCCATATTATGGTTGTAACATAAATGTGTCGGCACCACTATGCTAGGACCACACTTACACGGAATACCAGTGTAAAATAAAAGCTGCTGAGTTTTGTATGGTTACTGTAGACAACCAGAAACCCTCTCTGGAAACGAGGCATTCCATCTTAGTCCTCAGGGATGATAATGCATCTGCATTTTGATTCTTAACTGAGGATAAATAGGTATAGATACAGACCTCAGCATCCATTTACGATCAAGTTGACTATGTGCTCGTTTGTCATCCTTCAACAAAAAATATAGAAAAAGGATGTAAGGTCCTAAATTCATTATTTTGAGGTATAGAGAGAACATAACATTGTTTCTTACCATTTCAAAATGTGGTTGTAAGCTGTCACCCATGGGGTAACTAATTATCTGCAGCAACCTTAATTCAAGATTTGTAAGGGCTATGGGTTGAGGCATAAATTCATTTTTTTTCTTTTTCAATAATATATCTGCTTTTGTCTTAGTTTTGTTTTTCCAATCTGCCCACATCTAAAAGTAGGACATTTTATTATATCAACTTTCCATAATATATATATTTACATGAATATTTTTGTATGTATTATTTTTTTCTAACTTTACACCATTTATAAGCATTTTTAAATGCGCCTCCCTCAATATCATTAAGTTGCTGAGCAACTTTCTTCCAAAAATTGTGTCTATTTGTGTTAGTATACATCACTTTGCCTTGAATCATTACCCCATTTTCACTAAGTAAGTCTAGGAGTTGTTCCATTTGAGCTTGGCTGACTCTAGTCATCTCGAAGAGAAACTTAATGAAGAGCCCAACACTTTTATTTGTTATAAAGATTTCAGTTTCAGGTGTATTATATAGGCAGTAGATCAGTCGTAGTTAAATAATGTAAATTAACTTTACTTTGTTTATTCTACAAACATCAATAATTAAAAAAAAAAACCAAAGAGTATAATAAGTATATACAGGAAAAAAACGCAAGCGATATAATCACAAACTATAAAGAAACTCTTTGAAAGAAACTGGCGACCATAGATTACTGTATATAATATATATACATACTACGTAGATAGAGGATTGACAGATAAGATACTATGTCTATGACATACTAGTACTAGAGATAGATGCGCGACTAAAATTTAATTTTCTTTAGTGTCGTGCTTTGCATAACAGACGGCGCTTACAAAAGAAGGAACTTGAAAAAAAAGGGAAAAAATAAACACATCTGCTGGACGTGATCCGGGGTCTTTAGATTTCGGGACCGCCCGATTACCCACCTGAGCTATGATAACCTTGTACGTTGTGGCGAAATTTACCTTCGTATTCTGATAATATTTTAGCAGTTTTTCATTGTCTGAAAACACATAAAATGGCATTTTCTAAAAATAAATAATGTTCAATAAATATTAATAACAATTTAAGTGTAACCAGTGACCGCTACTAACTGCGTAGTGCGCGTGGATTATTGCTTATGCATAGACTTAATATATAAGTGCCCTCTAGTGAGATTAAAATAAGTCTAGCCTAGCGCTTCAGAATGTAGATGGAAGAACATAAAACGTATAATTTTGTTCGTAAAATAATGTTCTAAGTTGCATCCCCATACTGGCGACAATATATAACAATCAAAAGATACAGGCTACAGGTAAAGGATACAGTGTATATACTAGAGACTAGAGAATACAGGCCGAGGCACAAACTGTACTCTGTGACTAAGACCAAAGAGAAAATAATAACTACGTTTATGAGCATGAAGTTATAGATAAAGATGGAGACCACATTGTGGTCTCCATCAAGTAGGTATTCGGAGTGTTGTGGTCACCACAACACTCCGAATACCTACTTGAAGCTTAACCTATGTATTACTATCTCGCTCTCTGTGGGCAGACCCTCCCTTTCTAAGTAGGTAACCTTTATTTTATTTTTCCCAGGATATCGCTATAAGTAGTTGAGTTACATTAAGTGTTTTATTTATAAATATCTATATCTCTGTTTACTACTAAGACATAGCCTAGATTATATATTTTTGTACAATTTTTTTTTTGGGAATTTACTAGTTTTATGAAGAAAGGTTTTCATTTCCATGGGCAGAACCGGTATTAAAATATGACCACGCATATCCGTTACACCCCATATAATGCCGAGCCTATTTAGAAAATGTGGAAAATAAATATATCAGAGAATATTTTATAACTACCATTTCGATAATGTATTTTCTGGTTATTGTATACAATTCCTAAATGGTACCAACGAAATATAAAATTATTATAACCGCGGGTGATCAATGAATTGGGCAAAATATACCTGATTTATTGTTCAGACAGACTAAATCTATTTCTGGACAATTATTTTAAAAATATATCACGAGGACTAAAGCAGCGTAGCGGAGCTCCTGCCTTAGCCTTCTGACCTAACCCATCCGAGTCAGGCTGCTCTGAGCTGAAATGTGTATAATACTATATTCCACACATCCAGTTCATTTTAAGAATTATCTAAAATTCCTAGGAATTTTATATAATAACGGATTTCATAGATTTCTAGTAACATATGTACTATAATAGGAACGATAACATATTATTATTTTGAGTTGTTATCAGGAAGATGCCGCTGCCCATCTCCTGTTTCATTTTCCCTCTGACACCTCTTACAATACCCTCGGAACGATATGGGGTAGTGGATATTCTCACACCGCCACTACATGGTTTTTTAAAAACCTTAAAAAAATAAAAACACATTCCATATTAAAATTATTTATTGAAATTTTTCACACCATGTGGATTACTCTGTGGCTTTTTGAAGTCCTTACAGATATGAGAAAAGCGCCCTTGAATAATATTTTCAATTTCTGACTGACCCGTATACTTTTTAATAGTGTCCATTAAAGAAGACCTATCCTGAATTTTTTGTTTGGCGCGCAACTTTTTGCTTAAGAATCTAATAAGCTATAAAATTAGTTTTCGTCTCAAGTATTTCTTCTTTAGTACACTTTATTTTCACTTGCAGGCCCCAATCAATCTTCGCGGGATCTTCGTATTCACTGCTGACCTAAGAAAACAAGAAAACTTTATGAAATCAGTATTTTTAGCATCGTACATCGTATTGCTCCGCTCATAAGGGTCGTAACGTGATGTTAGATAGCCTTCCTGAAGAATTGGTTTTAAAAACACAAAAAAAATATTTTCAAATTAGACTGGTATAGTTCCAGAGATTAGAGAACTCAAACAAAAAAAAGAAACAAATAACTCTTCTACATCATAATGTCAGTACAAATTTACATCACTTAAATAGGTAACACATAATACACCGGAGCGCGCCTTCATGAGCACGCATAAATGAAGCATCAAACAAGAAGCTTTATGCTTAGTGTCGTAGTGACGGTTACCACACTGCGATTGGCACTAAAGGGTTTAAATATGTATGTGTTTTAAGCTATATAATACATTACGTAATGTAATATTAAAGTCATAATAAATACAAATAAAAGGTATGTATTTAGTAATAAAGGAAAAGGAAACTTACAGGTAATTTGTTAAGATTGCATAAATTTTCAAGAATTTTTCGACATCGTTTTTTACTAGTTTGGTCTTCAATATTACAGCCAGTACATTTCACTTCTGTTTCCTTAAGTGCAGAACTACTTTCATAAATGCCAAAACTAGTGCTTGGTACAGCCAGAGCAGCTATTTCCACAATAGACTCTTCATGTAATGCACTTGTTGTCTGCAAATAATAACATATTTTACAAAATGTTGCTTTATATCATACATTTAAACTACTACATTTATAAATACATAATTATTATAAACGTTATTAAAGTATCAGAATAATGAGAAACAAAAACTAAATAAAAATAAATTGTCTACCAAAAGAATATATTATTATGTTACTAATTTTTAATTTAATATTATGAAATCTATGAAATCCGTCATTATATAGAATATATAGAAGTGTACATAATTCCTAAATTTCATGCATTTCCGGTAACATAATAAGAAACATGTACATATAATTAGTTAAGATCACACGGAAAGTCTCAGATACATCGTCAATATGGTCACACTACTTCAGTGCGATTTCTTTTAAACAAAAACAATAAAATTGTTCAAACTTAATTAAATTCAATGTAAAACTATTTGATCTTAACAAAGTTATAATTTACTAATATGTTTAAAACACTGATAAAACGTTTCATCAAAAAATTAAGTGAAAATACAAAAAAGTATGTTTACAAGTATTCAATGCCAGAAGTCACTATTTAAACACTTACGTGTGAAATCTTATATCACCTCTTGGACACCAACTACTGCCGCAACCACGTACTACACAAGTTTGCACCATTTCTTGAATTATAACAATAATTAACTTTAAATATCTCAAACGACGCTGTGAACTGCTAAGTAAACAACCGCCATATTTGTCTAATTTATGTTGACATATAGGGCTAATGTTGCCACATTACCGAACCCTTAGGAAATGGGATTGTAATTCACTGATTCGTTAACCCAATAATGCATACGAGACCTTCAATTTTGGAATTTTTAATGGAACTAATCGTAGATTAACTATTTATTTATTGGTACATTATTTTACAGAGCTTAACTTCTGATTTAGTTAGTGTGGAAATTATTTCTACGAATTTACCGGGAGATTCAAATAAAAACATAGCAATATTGTGTTCCACACTAAAAAGAGAAGTCAGACCACAGAGAGTGAGATAAAGATACGTAGGTATTTGACTCAAGCTGTTGTTCCAAGTGTGGCCTCCATCTTTATCTATAACTTCATGTTTATGAGGCGGGATCATTGATATAAGAAAAATAGGGCGGAACTTCCTAAGCAAATGTTAGAAAATGTAAAAGAATGAAATTGCGCTAAATTACCAACATCAAGACATGACATTTAATTTTTGACAAACAGTGCTGGCAACATTGACGAATTACAATAGTGCTGCAAATGTCTATCCTCGAATAATTTTATCGATATAATCTTTATCGATATATTGTTTATCGATATTTTACATAATAAAAGTTAGATCTAAACTGAATTATTTATAAGGAATAAATTTTTTAACGTGGAGATTGAGTAAAAATGCCGATGAAGATAAGAAATCAATGTATTTTACACACAGCAATTGGTAATTATATGTCTACAAAAAGGCTGGCTTTTCACTATGGGATATAATATACATTAAATCCCGAAATATAAATTATATACCGCGATTGGCTTCCACACTGTGAGATATATCTTTTAACCAGTGTGCGTTCGTCATTGGTAATTGGATTACCCCCCTTTACCCCGTACACCTTTTGGCGGGGTCGCGGAACGGTTTGCGGGGTACAGGGGGCGAAATATATTATGAAAATATCGCCCGGTCGATCGAAAAAATACTTATAGCTTGAGATATAATATATATTATAGCTCAGTGTAAACGGTTCCATATGAAATGTATAGTGAGCGATATTAATTTATATCTCGAGATATAATATATATTATATATGTATATCCCATTGTGAAAAGCGGGCTTTAGGTGCAAAAATATGTATAAAGAATATATAAAATTGAAAACGCACTATTCCTCTAGTAATCAATTAAGTAAAAAATAAGTTACATCTCCGTAGCGCAGTGGCTAAGCATTTGGCTGCAGCACTGCAGGACCGAAGGTTCGTTCTGTCTGTTCTGTCTATGCTGTAATATAAATAGTCTGCGTCTGGATGCTTGTTTTCAACGTTAGTTTTTTTAGAAGGGTAATAATATTGGGTTTTTTAAGACTGATTGTATTAAATTGC